CCCCCCCCCAGCTGTCACCCTGAGGTTTTCTGCCTTCAGTGGCTCCTCTTCTGAAGGGGCCACGGGGTGGCGTGGGCTGCACTTGACCTCTCACCCCTCTTCTGTGTGACAGGACTTGTTCATAAGTGACTGAATGCCCTGCACCAGTTGTGGGCCATTACTACCCGGGAAAGCAGAGTTCAATTGTCTCAGAGGTGGGCTGTGTGGCCTTCGTTGATTAAAAGGATCTGAAAAGGTTCTTGCTTTAGGAAACAGTTTTCTCCTTCATTTAGTGTTTCAGTTGTTTTCAGTACTGTATTAGGAAAATAGTCAAACACACAGAACCTTTGGAATTGTAGAGTGATCATATGCCCACCTGTTAGATGCTACAAATAATATTTTACGTCGATGCTTTTTGTGCTTCAGAGTCAGTCCTCTAGCTGCTCCTCGAGTGGTCTTTGCTACTCGTCGCTGGTTTCAGGGCACCGGCGTGGGTCCAGGAGCCGCAGGCTTTTTCAGCCTGGTCCTTTAGGGGCAGGATGGCTCCCACAGATGTTTGTTATGAGAGGAACCACTTAGAACAGATGTCAGGGAGGAAAAATTATCCTCTACCCTTCAGGGTTCTGGTTGGACTAATACTCAGATTAACTCGAGACAAATTAGCAGGAGGAAAACAAATTAAGTTTAATGAGGTGTATGTATAGGAGAGACCCAGGAAAACTGTAACTCACCAAAGTGGTGGAAGCCACTACCTTAAATACCACCTGCAGCTAAAGACAAAAGCAGATGTTAAGGGTGGAGGGTCCTCGATGGGAGGTTACTAGGAAAAGCCTGGTAAAGCTGTTATTCGGATTTAAGCCCCAGCCTACTCCATTAAATATAAAAGCAGGCCTGGTACAGTGTGAGGGGGAAGCACCCTTACAAATGGAGATTTTCCTTACAAATGTAAATGTCCTTCTACAAAGGGCAGCTTCTAGGTTTTCAGAGCTTCTCCAACATCTGCCGTTTCTTAAAATTAGCCTAATATAATCTGTATCCCAAAGAGGCCTATTTTGGAGAGAGAAATTCTGCTGCCCTTCAAGAGCAAGACCAGAGCAGGTGGTGACTTTGACCGGTGTAGGTCACTGAGGCCAGGGGCTGCTGCCTCCAGAACACAGCACCCATGGCAGTCCTCCTCTTCCCTCTCTGCTGATGGGTGTTCTGAGGATTCCAAAGACAGCTTGGGTGACTCAAGACTAGAACGCCTTTAAACTGGAGGCAGGGGAAGTGTGTTGTCTAGCTGTAGTCTCATGGTGAAAATTCTGCTAGGAACTCAGTTTGGAGCCTCATTCACTGGAGCAGGCCCAGAGAGCAGAGCAGGTAAGGTTCCTTAGCTGGTGTCTCGTAACTAGCCAGAAGCCGCCTGTGAGCAGGGATGAGTGGAGTTTGGCCTGGTCAACATCTGCTCACCTAGTGGCTGAATGTCACTGTCTTGCTCAAAAAAGAAATTATTTTCTGTTTGTAATCTCAGTGCCAGGTGTTTGTTTATTTTTTCAAAGCTCTTGATTGGTGTGAGAGCCTCTGTTTGAACAACTAAGTAAACCAGTAGGGTGGGTATTGAAATGTTTCCATGAGTCTGTGTTTATATTCTTGCGGTTTTTAGACGTGTTACTGTATTGTGCGCATAATAAGAGCTTCACCCTCAGAGCACATGGGCTTCATGGCTTTTAGGAGATGACTATGGTAGAGATGTGCTGAATTGTGCAGGAGGCGCGTTCCCCTCTTCCTTGCCTTGAAGCCACTGAGCACCCATGGCAGTCCTTCTCTGGTGGACTCCACCAGTCCACAGCCTGGTGGTTGTAGTGACCACCAGTGGTCCTTCCTGTTCATGCAACTCTCTGTGGCATTTGAAAGACACCAGTGGCTGTTTCTACCTGGGCCAGATCCTGTTTTCAGGGACAAGGGTGTATCTGTGGGTGTAGTTTTGAGGACAGATTTAAGGAGAACCTGTGGTCTGGTTATAGGACTGTGGCCTGGTTACAGGACTGTGGCCCTGCGGCTGGGTCAGGGACCCAGGGGCAGGTTTGGCCAAACCACATGAGGGGGTAGAGTAGTGCACCCTCAGCCTGGGGCAGAAAACTGCCAGGGAAAAGCTTGCAATTTAAAAGAAAAACCTGGAGCAGAAAAAGCATTCCAAGCAAGTCATTAGCACACAAAGGGTAGGCCAAGAGAGTCCCTGGAAGAGGTCCAGGATGGGCTGGACAGCTGTACCAGAGATGGTGATCATTTAGCATGGAAATGGAGGAATTTCCTGAAGCTGAACCTGGAGCTCCAGGTGCTCTTTCCAGGGCATCTGCAGTCTTGGTCAGGGAGGGGGCACTTAGTAGGAGCCTCAGCCAAAGTTAGCCACTGAGAATGTCTCTTTCCCCAACTCCTCCATGAAGGAAGGTAAAGGGTAACCTCCCCACATTGTACTCAACAAATAAACAAAAACAGAAAAACCACACTCCCCTGCCACTCACACAAGGTAGGACAGGGTCAAATAACTCCCTAGGACAAACAGATTTGCTAAAATTGCTTGAAAAGAGTTTGGTGAGCTAAACATACCATGGGTCTCACACAGTCATGGCATGATCTTTATTTTATTCTTTGTTGCGTGATAGGTAATGGAAATTTCACAGGACTAGTCTGATTCCAAATTCAAATAGGGTCCAAATTGGGAAGTCTTAGCTGCAGTTGATAAAAGAGAAGACTGTCTTCTTGCTTGTTGCCACAACTCCCACAATCCTGGTTCTTGTTTGCCCCTCCTATCTGCCAGCATAGCCCCACCCCCTTCCCCAGGTTGCTGCTCCTCACCCAAGGAGGACAACAGAGCTCAGATCCATCAATACTTTCCTGAACTACCCTTGTAGTGTTCCTGTTTGAAGGTTTCAGATCCAAACTTCTGGGAATGGAGGAAGGAAAGGGCCTCGGGGAGGGCTGGGTGAGTGGGGAGGTGGTGGTAGTGGCTGTGGTTATGTTACTGTTGTCCCGGATGGGGTAGAGGAGGCTTCTGGGTAGGGCTGTCTCAGGGTCAGAGCTGTGGTGCACACTCTCCTGTAGACACACTTAATCCACCCAATCCCTAAATTACATAATTCCATTCATTCTCAGACTAATAACTCTGTAATGTTGCCACAATAATGATGATATAATGTCTGCAATTACAACTTTTTAAATGCATTATTTTAGTCAACATAAAAGTATTTTATGTTCAATAAAGGAAAATTGAAAAAATCATAGAAATGGGGGGGGGTTGTTTTGGGTTTTTTTTGCGTATTTATCCATGTTTCCCACCATTGAAGGATAATTATCACTGTTTACATGTTGGTACATTTCTAGTACATTTCTGTGCCTAAAGTTTAATTTGGTTTGTGGAGCAAGAGTCAGTGGTTTTGTTTCATTTCGTTTCATTCGTTCATTCATTCATTCAGAAGTCATTTATCTAGGGCCCTCCCTGTGTCAGAATTGTGCTAGGTGCTGGGAAATAATGAATAAATAACTAGTAGCTGTGGAGCTTACAGACAGGTGGGAAAGAGATTAAACAAGAAATGACTGTACCAGCAAGTGGCCACCAGAGTGGAAGAGAGGCACGTCCCCCTGCAGTGGGGGCTTAGAATCATGAGCAGAGTAGAGTTTGGTGCCTCCTGTGTTCACCTGTTTTTATCACAGTGCTTTTTGGGTCTCAAATGATCTCTTATTTGTCTATAA